AATACATGATACGGTTTTTATTTTTTATTAAGAAAATGAGAAATTTAGATAGAATAATTTAACTTAAACTTTGTTCCATAAATGATGAAATTGATAAATCTACAATTTAATATATTATAATACTACATTAGAGCAAAAAGGAACTACTTTATCCACTAAATATATTCGAATTATTTTTTTTTGCATGAATGTAGAAAAATTCTTTTAAAGGACTAATGTATCACTTCATTTCATTTTCGATTCTTGTTTCTATTATCAGTGAAATCGTCTCCAGCTAATTTCATCATCATTCAAACATGTTTTAATACACCGTGACTGATATCCAACCTTGCTGTCCAACGTCTTAAACTTGACAGTGCTGGTAAAGGTCAGTTTAAACTATTTCCAAAATACAAATAACATTTTCTGCTATAATATCTTATAGTAAACGCTGTAGCTATCTCATCTTGCGTCCAGTGAACACTCTTCTTTTTATTTGAAAGCAAATCAATCTGATTTTTAGTAAGAATAGATTTTATGATGTTCTCAGCAGTATTTGTTTTGGGATTTGGCTTTGCATAACATTTTTTACAGTTCATTTTTGTAATAATTGGCAAGATTTTTCAAATTATTCGTTTTGTTTCTTCAGTGAAGTTTCAAATTGTGATGCTCTTCAAGCAGGAGCTCATATTTTGCTTTATAATCAATATCCACCATGTCAACAGAGGGACCAAGTTCTTGTTCTCCTTGTATATTTTGTTGATCAGCTTCAGGTTGAGGAGATATAATATTATGGGGAGAAGAGCAATTTTGAGTTGTGGATGGCTTAAAATTATCCAAATTTGATTCAAGTAACATACTGATGGTTTCTTTGTGTTTTTTCTGTAAGGCTCTAATATTGTAAAACTTCCCTGTCTTCATCAATTGTTGGATAATTTAGGTTAACACTAGATACTGCAGTTTTTTTAATTCACGACGCAAAGGCAAACTTATAAAAAAAACATATTTATTTCAGGCAGTAAATTAATAGAATAACAACAAATCCATTTTTGAGAGTGAAGTTATCTCCTCTTTTGCAGGGACGAATCCATTCTTTTTGCAAAGTTGTGGAAAACATATCCTTAGCAATAGGAAAAGAGTAAAATATTACATCACTAACACCACTTTTCTTTAAAGTCAACTGATTGCTTTTGCAAGTTGACACTGCACAAATACGACCAGGCATTTTAACTAAAAATTACAAGGTTATTCATTGGTTAGACAATTATAGCTATTACTTACGAAAGTGTGAATATTTCCAATTTTTACCTTAATTTAATTTAAAAATGTTCAAAAAACAAAAAAAAAGTTCCACAATGGCAAAAAACGAACCTCAAAACGAAAGAGCACAAAAAAATACGACTTTCACAATAACAAAGTCAATGTTTCAGAAACCTAATTGGTATAGTTAAACAAAAATTCAATCAAAATAAACAAAAACAATGTAATACTGTCCGAAAATAATCCTCAAAAAATGTTAAAATAACGCACAGTGTTATGGTAGCTACTAGAAGTATCACCAGTGTTACGTCACATCTGCTCGGCGCTTGTTTAAAGTGGCGATATATGCAAGTAAGCAATCCTGTATGTCCATAAGTATGTTCATAATCGAAAAATAGCTACTGACGTACACGAAAATTATCACAACCCTGCCATCAAAGTGCGTTTCTACAATCTTACCCTTTTCTTATCTTCAACCAATCGTCATGTAATGCTCCATTATAATAATTATCGAATTTGAGCATATTTTTCACGGTTATTACTCACTTTCGGTCGACCTGATATACTTTTCGGAAAATTACAGCACTGATTACTTTTTTATTACTGTAATTACATTCAATGTTCCAATACCACTGTGATAACGGACCCTAATTTCAAAAAGAAAATTAAGTCCATATCTATGATTTTTAAGTTGGAGAAAATAATGTATAGACATTATTATTTCGTGTTCTTATTTTTGGAATGTTGTAAAAGGGGAAATTTTCTAAAACAAAATTTTCATCATCGAAAAGTTAAATCTCTCTTCTATGCTTACAGCTGAGTAAGTAGGTTCAAAGTGNTAGGCATAATCAAAAATTACCTTCAACGAAATGGTTACTCCAAAGCGATGGTAGAACAGGCTTTAGCTAGAAGACAGCAAGAGCTCTACAAGGAAGAGAAGCCGCCACAACCAGTACTTGTACTTCCCTACATCAGAGGATTGTCGAAAAGGATAAGAAGGATTGGTTCCGAGTATAATATCAGAATCTGCTCAATATCTGGGAGCACTCTCCGTAGCAGCCTCACAGAAACCAGCCCACCAATCGCGGACTGTGATTCCAAGAATTGTATTTATCGGATACCCTGCGAGTGCGCAGAATCATACATCGATGAAACTAAGAGACCATTGAAAGTTCGCATTGCCGAGCAAAAGAAACATACACAACAAGAAGAAACCAGCAAATCAGGAATAGCATAGCACGTTTGGATTTATCAACATAACATCACGTGGGCTCAAGCAGAAATCATCCACAAGGAAAAACACTGGTTTGGGAGAAAATTCAAGCCACATATATGTTGTCCCACAACACATCTAGACAAGTTAGCCTAGAGATACGCAACATATGGAAACCACTAATCAAGCAGAACACGACCAAATGCTCAGCTTTCGCTAAAACCGATGAAACGAAGAGAGGGAAGAGGGGATAGGTGACCAACTCTTCCTTTGCTACTCGTGGGAATACACATGAATGGCGGCCAAAGAATTGTGAATGAGTGTCGTCAAATAACTCCAATTATGCTGAACAATGTCAGAGACGGTTTTCAGTCAAGATTGTATTATTGTATGGGAGTCAATGGAGGACAATTTGAACATCTGATTTAAACACGCAGATTTGATTTTTTTGATTGTTAGCATGATCATTAAACAATTCAATTTTTTCAAGAATGTGATTTTTTGAAGATTGTTTAAGTTTGTAAAAAGGACTCAATAAAAATGGGCTTGTACGTGTAAAAATAACCAAATTATTCAAAGCGACTCATTCGAGCTGCAAAATTGATTTCTGGCGAAAACGGTTCATCAAATTTAAGTTTTTCATACACCGTTGTGTCACTCAACCCTTCTTCCCTATTCAAGTTTGAGGGATTGAAGAGCCCCCTATTAGGGGGTTGCTTCTTCAAGCCTAAAATATACGTCAAAAGATGTCTTCCAAACAAAATCATTCGACGTGTTTCGGGAAATTTTTCCACTCACTAAGAATATAAGGGGTGGCTCGTCTGAGATGAAACACCCTGTATATCATATGTGTGATTGATGACTTGTTTATTTTATGGTAATTCATGATCACTCAAATGAAATGAATAAACAAACTTTTGTCTATACAGCGTGACTCACGGTCGATGTTAGGTTAGACGTTTCTGGAAAACGCAAAGCATGATTCTTCTGAAAATTCTACCTCTCACATTTGCTTACCTGTTCTATCGATTTGAAATATTTTCAGCATTGCGGCGTTGCCACATCCATCAAAAAGTCCTAGCAACTTTATTTTTTTAAAAGGAACACCCCGTATATAAATACATTTTTGGAATCGCTCTGAAATTTCAATACTTTTTTGTAGATAATGTCTTATACCTATCCCTATCTGTTTTCGGGATAAAAAATAAATTGTGCTAAATATGGTCCAAAAAATAGTCTCAATTGAAATCAAGTACATCAGTACTCTCAATTAATGAAAAGTTGATATTTTGATGATAGTTTGGACAAACTCGAAATATTCAAATAACATCNGATTGTATATAGGGGGGCAGATAAGGAAAATCCTAGATTATATTGTTTTGATCATTGTTTTCAACATATGGGTTGCGCATGAGCAGTGAAGATGGTAATTGAAAAAATATATAGAAATCAATCTACGAGGCTCTTGACAAAATCTTTTCATAACTTCTCGTACAATTTCACTTTTTTTTTTCAACAATTTTCCGGTGAACGTTTAGCATTCATAAACTGTTGAAACGGTTTTTGGTCATCGTAGACCGCTACTACGTTTCTACACGTCGCAAGGTCGAAAAATACCTTTCTATGTATTGCTCGTTGTATAGTTGAAGTAAACGATATTGTGGCGGCACTCTCAAAGGCCAAAAAAACTAATACATAGAAATAAACCGGCAACGAACTAGTCCACATGGACTGTAGACTTGGCGGTTCGTATTGGATAATTTTTACTAACCGAGTTTTATGATTGGCTGGAGAGAATTGAATTTGAAGTCATGTAACGGTGACGAATAGAAATAAAGATAGGTTATTGACGTCGTGTTCAGTTCAGGAACTAATCGCGATTTGAGTGTTGAAATTCGATATTGATGCAGTTATAATTACCTAAAATTTATGTTATCTATTTAAAATGTGGCGTCCTTGGACAAGAAATAATAGTAATAACGAGTGTGATAACAACGCAGACTTTTTCCAATGTAGTGATTCCATGATTCCAATAGTGAACAATGCGAAAAAGAGAAAGATTCGGATGCATTTGAATATTGAAACATGTGGAGTATCTTTAATGAAATGAATTGAACACTTTTGTCTAATTACCACTAGTTGATTTTATTTATACGACCGGTTTCGGGTTTGAGCCCATTATCAAGTTTTATACTTGTCGTATAAATTAAATTTAGACAAATGTGTTTTTATTCATTTCATTTAAGTGACCCTGTATATCATAATATGTAATATTTTTTGTATTTATCCTGTCTGTATCCCTAGTCGTGCAATCAATGAATAAAAATATACACTTCAGATTGCTTTGTATATGATTTTAAGGAAACATTATCCTGACCATTCCATACACGCATATAGAGCTGTTCAATTACCCATTAGCCATCACTTACCTATCGAAAATAATGAACAGAAACATCACCGTGCGCTGCTGACCCCTATCGACAGAAACCCCAAACAGACAGCCGATAGTGGGAGCAATGATTCGCTTTCAGTTTGAGGTCTCTGCTTCCACGAAATCATTCAGTGTTTGCAGCGCAACCATAGAGATAGGTTGAGTGTTGTAGGAGCAGCTGATAGTGCTGTGAATTTACGTAGTTGTCAATTGTTCCAATTGTCAGAAAGGAAACTTTTGATTGTTTTGAAACCGGAGAACTGTTTGGGGAGTTTGAGACGGTTTGTTTAACTTTTTTACCTGAAAAGAACTGTGGAAATAAGGGCTGGTTTACTGGCTGAAAACTTGAAAAAATTGTACTGGTTTCGTTGTTGAACGCTCTGTCTAAGTTGCAGTGGAAAATCCCGTAAACAAAATCGTTGCATACAAGTGTCAGTTGGAAATACACATCAGCTGTACGGAATCCGCTGTTCCTCCGCGCAGCCGTAACCCCACTCTGACCGCGTAGAGGGGATAACAGCTGAGAGGTGATACAAATCCAAAACACCAACTTGGACTTGTCAGTTTCTTCACTGCTGTTGTAGAGTTAATGTCAAATATGCTAAGACTAGTCGAGTGCCACAGCACTTGAGAACTTAGTCAGATTTTGGAACAGGACAGAGTGACTGAAGTGCGGTGTTGTGAGCTTTTCCGATAATTTGGATATGGTGCCTCAGAATATGGATGCATCCAGATCCGATGGCCTGCTTTTCGGGTCGCAGCTTGTCGACAAAAATTCATCGACCCCCTACTCTGACGCTACTCAGGTAGGTGTTTGTTTTTCTTCAGTATTTTCCTGTGTAGTGTGAGTGATAATTTGGATGGAGTTTTCCTTGCGGGGCAGTTGCCGGATTAAAGGTGGGAGATTTCAATTTTTTTGAAAAGGATTTTCTGCTTAGGAATATTCTTAGAAGAAATCTAAAGTTTTTGAAACATCTGGAATTGTTAAAAAAAATATATGAAATCAAGAATAAAACAGCACAAATGTACTTAGGACGAAAAAAAAAATGGAAAAATTTGGAAAACACCGTCAGAAATGTTTTATGACGTTTGTGAAGTACTCAACAAGAGTACATGTGGTAATGATATTGATAGTGTAATAATTGCATTCATTTGATAGGATAACTGAATTGTTACATTCAATTTTGATATTTAAGTAAGTAGTGGAGAGGATACTTTAGTTTCGTTATCGATATACCCAATACCATTCAATACACCTCAAAATCAGCAGAAAAATTAAAGCAAAGTTGCCGTCAGTTATTATTTTTGATGACAAATAGACAGTCACATTTTTTGGTGAAATAGATTGAAATTTTTTGTAATCATTTTTACTTCCACATACTGAAGATGATAAAATGTTCAGTGAAATTTAGCGAAAGTTATCAGAACAAGTTCAGGGCGTTTATCGACATATCAAATTCCTACTGATTTCGATTTGTCAGCTTTCTTTACTCAGAATTTTCTGCTGATAAAGTTATACTGATTGGAGTGATTTTCTTCGAAATTAATACTGATCACACAGGAATTTTGTACTGTATAATGAAGACACTAAAATACATATTTTTTTTGGATTTGTGAGAAAAATGAATATGAAAAAAACCGAAGGAAACTACTATCTCTCTGCCTTAGTGTACCTTTTCCTGAATACGTCCAAATTAGATTGAATCACAAAATATACTTACAATCTCAGAATATACATACTCAAATCCATACTCAAATTCGGAGAATAATTTTCAAAACCTAAACAGTTTCAAATGATTTTTTGATACAAATACGTAATATTTTAATGAAAATCCTCATGAAAAATTCTGTTCCGTTATTTGAAAATAAAATATTAGTAGTTATGACTGACCATCAATGGATCAAATTTGACTTTTTTCATCCGTTTCAACTTCTTTTTGATTGAATTCCGGAGTTATTTAACCAAAAACAGCTACTTAAAATGGAAATTAAAAAGTTTTGAAAGTGAGTAAATTACATTCATCCCGGTTTCATTAATACACACATTATGATTCTCACCTATTTCTGAATCAAAAATTAGTATTTGCATGACAAAGTTTTCAATGAACTTGCTGAAGTACCTACAAACAAATTAATGGACAATTAAAAAATGAGAACAAACTAATTAATTAACTGAAAAGAAATACTTCTATCTGATTATATGATTTATTTATTTTAAAATATTCCACTACAGGCATTTTGCCAATTTAGTTCATTAATCTTGCTATGAAAATGACAAGTCGATGAAAGATTGATCTGGTGTTAGAATCTGTTTTTTCGTTTATTCGGCTACATCCGTCAGAAAATAATTCGGACAGGCAATCAACGAGTACGATTTCTAGCTATTAAAAATTGAAACTGACAACGTTTTCGATCTCAGAACTCATTTACATACCTCAGAATTCAATTCATTACTCACTTACTCATGGCACAATTAAAATCATTATTGGATGAATGAAAAGAGATGAAAATCCTAAATTTTATTTGAAGATTTTAATCTTGTAAAGAAGTTTTTGATCCTAAAAGTGCTCTGAAGCAGTAAGTAGAAAATGTTTGAAAAATTACATATTTTGAAAAAAAGAAATACTTCGTGCAAATGCTGGGAAAATGATGATTTCAACTTTTACTCGCTGATTTTTTTGCATACAACTTTTTTTTAAAGTACTTTAGATGTCCAAAAAGTATGTCTTGGTATCTTATGTAAAGACGGAAATACACATGGTAAACATTCAGTGTTTTTTGTCTACGAAATTGAAATCAAATCTCCTGCTTCTTCAAGTAAGAATCAACTATGTAATAGACTGCTACGCCTAGAAATATTTTTGGAGGTTTCTACACCTGTTGACGCAATTTCGTTAAATCACCTTCATGCTCGGTACCCGTGCGCGAATTTCCTGATTTCCAAATCATTTTCACGTCGGCTTCATTAACAGTCTACGTCATTTCACAATCTAAAATTAGCGATCGAATTGAATCCGGAAATATAAACATCAAAAGTCAAGGACAAGATTTATTTTATAACCTACTACTCAGTAGTTTGACAATGTCACACAGTGTTATTATTTGACGAGCTAGGATGTCCTTGCCTCGTTTTTGGAATACTTATAAGGTAGTTGATATTTCGAGTTGTAATGGCAAAATAGGCAAATATTTTTTCGGTAGGATATTGATAAAAAAAATAGGTAGATGAAAAAACTAATGTTTACGACTTTTATTCATGTCATGAAGTCTCAGTTTATTCAAATTTGACTAACAGTATCATGCGTCTAGCTTTTATCGCAGTAATTGAGCAAGATACAGGGTTTTGATATGATCCTCAAGTGCTATAAGGAAAATAATGAGTGCCCTGGTAACTTATCTTGTCTTGTACGTGTGACTATTCTTTGTTTACTTCCTGTGACACCTAGATATGAAATTTAATTACCTACTTGGAATGCTCAATATTTCTCAGTAACCATGGCAAACAGGTTTTCTATGAAAATGGACCCACAATTTTGATTCTTAAGTACCTACAGTTGACAAAATGTAATAGAGCATGTTTTGATTCTGAATTCAATTTGATAAACAAATTTGGTACTTACTGAAACACCAGTTACAGGTGTTTGAACAACTTTTTTCTAACATCGATCGATCAGTTGAAATTAAAGACTTTTTTCGTCAGACGTGTAGATTACTCATCGTTAAAGAATTGATTTTCCACTTCATATTATAGTCCAAAAAGTATGAACAGTCGTTGAAGATCATTAATTTGCATTGCAATATATAAAGGTGATTTATAAAGTTTTTAAACTGTAGATCTAGCTGTATAACTCGGTTATCCGTTTGAAATTAAACAATTATTTGACAATGCAAATGATGCCTGTAATAATTTGTATAACTGCGTAATTGAAGTAGCCCAAAATATTCAAAAATGTTCTCAAATACAAGTAAATAATGTTTGAGAAGTCACGTTCTCAAAATTGAATGGGATGGAAACGAAAGGTTTTGGTTTTCTACTTCTCCATCTCGATACAAAAAATGTGGGAAATTTTCAATGTTTATATGAAAGTTTCGAGAGGATTTTTTGTGCACTTGGCACTTGTTTGTGCCTGAAGTATAAAATAAGGTAAACGAAATAACATGACCTGTACTATCCCTGTTTTAGTTTCTAGATTTTGTGATACGGATAATTCTTTGTAGATTTTGGTTCGGAGTATTATATTCTTGAAAGAAAGTTTGTCAGTCTTTATGTAACTCTGAATTTAATGTGCCACAAAACATTCAAGTTTCGTCTTGACATTGTATAATTTTGAATTTTACGGTGAAGTAGGCGATATTAATTTTCCCGTGGTTCTCTCGCCCATCACCCGGGTATTATGCACGCACATAAAAACAAGACAATCTCCCCGGAAGTGTACAAGAGGGAATTGCACGTGGAATATTTAAGAACTCCGGTGCAACTTCCTTCTTTGAGATAAGCCACGCTGATAAATAAACTCCCTGCCAGCGAAAAAACACATTCGGGCCAAAGTTAAACAAGAGTCATTATGCTGAAGTTCTTAATGTCTACTGTGGAATGAAAAATCCGAAAGGGAAAATACACGAAGTTGGGAGTTGTGAGTTATCGGGTTATTTTTATGTCGGATGGGTTTGTTTTTGAGGGAACCGAACCGTGGGAAATTCCAGTTTTTTGCGGAATACTTAAAATACGGTTTGGTGTTGGGAAAAAATTTCAGTAATACACTTGATGGTCAACTTTGTCGTACTTCTCTACTTCCTTCTATACTTTTCCATCAAAAGTTAGCAACAACTGCATTCATTGTACTAGCAAAAGATATATTAACATTGTTATTTGAAGACAATCATTAAGGTGCCTATTTTGAGCATATGATAACATGAGAATAAAGTGAGTAACTTTAACTCTAAATTTAATATGGTTCGTCCAAATTAAAAAAAAATGTACACCGTTGTTTAGAAAATTCCAAGATCTTTCAAACGATGTGCGACTTGACCCCTATTCCTTATTAGAATTCCAAGGGTTGTTCACCCCTCTGCTCCGGGGTTGAAGTGACGACGCTGTAAATAGGGAAAAAACTGCCCCCCCTCCCAATAGAAATCGACCTGTCCGAGCCTTTTTTTGAAAGATTAGTATCCAAAACCTCCATGTCAAGTTTTCGATGGCCCACCCTGTATATTTTGTATAACAAAGAGTTTAAAGAGTTCAGTTGAATTTCGTTCTCATATTCTTTTTATGTGACATGTTTTAAACTATTACATTTATACGATAAAATAGACTATTGTTGCTTTTCTATAAATGTAGAACAAAGTGAAAAACTATACATTTTCATCATTATAATGTTGGCCGTGTATTTTTTCCTCATCGGAGTTTCGAATTCAAGTAAATACTGCTTGTTTTCCAATAAGATAATACTGGTCTTGCATGAGATCATAAATAAATTTAACGATACTCGCGATAAGATTAACCTGGAAAAATGCATTGAAACCATAACGAACTCACTTATCATTCACATCAGCTGTTCGACCAGCGCATTACTCATAAATATCAACTGAAAAAAAAATCTAAACGGATTACTAGTCAAGGTTAGAATAATTATTTCCTGGGTAGAAAACCAGAGAAGTTGCCTATCCAGCTTTTGACATTATCCACGTTATTTCTGCGTACCGAGCAGTCGCTGTGACTCAGTTGGCCTTGGAAAAGACATGCACCTCGAAACAGCTGATTATCGTCACTTACGTTGCCTGGTGACATGTGTGGAACAAACGAGCG